CTGCCCTCCGGCAAGGAGCTCAGAGCAGCGTTTCACAGGGGCCCTTGGAGGTCGCCAGGGCCAACTCTCCCCATTCACAGGTAGGTCGACTGAGGCAACCAAGAGTGAAAAGACTCTCCTCGGGCCACAGCCTGGAGACCAAGGTCCTGCCTCTCACTGCCCCCTCCGGACGTTGGGAGGCTGGCTCAGCCTCCCAGTCCACTTAGGTCCCCCTTCTGTCCCCATCTGGGCCCCAGCACCATGATGTTCCCTCCAGAATGTTCTCTCAATGCCTGTTTTATTTTTAGATGCACCAAGACTGTTGGAGAAACAGGAAGGACACACATTTCCATCAAAAAATGTTGTCCTCATTTTGAAAACGCCCATCTCTTCTCTGCCTCACAAAGGCCACTGGGCCTTCCAGTTTGCCTTCTCGCTGCCCTGTCCACACTTGCGCCTTGTCCTCCAGCAGCTGGGCCATGCCCGCTCCCCAGCTCCTCTCCCACCCTGGTTCTCCCACCACCACCACGCTGCACCCACCGCCGTTCATGCCTGGAGTGCCTCTTGCTCCTCCTCCCACCTGGAAGGCCCTTCCCTCGTGCTCTGGTGCCAGAGCTGTTAGTCTTCCTGCGGAGCTCAGTAAAGGCTGGAGCCCACCGGGCTCCCCTGATCTGCACTCCATGGCACCCAGAACTCTTCTTTTTTTAACACATTCCCCACACTCATAAGGACTTAAGAATCTACAATTTAAAAATAACTTCAACTATACACACTCATTCCATCCTTGATAGGTTGAATGCTTCATGATGATAAGCTCTGTGTCTACGTTGTCCTTCAGTGTCTAGCAGGGCCCCTAGGACACAGCAGGTGCTCAAGGAACCTTTTTTGACAGACTGACCTACTAAGGCAAAAGAAACTCCCATTTGAGTGTCTACTATGTGTGGGTTCCTGTATGTTATTCTATCCTATCCTCACAAGAAAGGTGGGGTTGGTCGCCCCAGTTTACAGAAGAGGAAACTAAAGCTTGGAGAGGTGAAGCGACTTGCTAGAGGAGGAGAGAGGGACCTGATGGAAACTCAGCCCCTCCCCTCCCCCCAGAAAATCCCTCCCCTTGCCATTGTTAGGCCTCTGCTCTTGGGGTCAGTCCAGACCCACCCCAGGCTCCAAACAGGCTAGAGCTGGCCCAGTTCTATGAGCACCCACTGCTGTGGCATCATCTCCTCTGGGACCCTTCAAAGCTCCCCAGTGGGTCCAAGGCTGATAAATCATGGACCACTGTGGCGCCTCAGCGCCCTCTAGTGGTGGCAGGAAAGAGCGACTAAGGAGGGGACGTACACGGGAGGGTGTGCAAAAAGATGGAGAAAGTTGGAGCCGAGGAAGGGGTTGAACAGGAGCAAGAAGAAACAAGCAAGGCATTTGTCCTTGGCTTCAAAGCCCCCCCTTTACCCCTCCCCTGCCAGCATCCTCTCGGGGTTTCTGCCCACCAGCTCAGCCTAGGTCCCGGGACCTCGGAGGGAGACCCCTGCCAGCACAGGTTGTAAGGGAGGAAATTGGTCTCTCCTTCCCGCCTGGGACAGTTTGCAGTCTTCTGGGATCGAGCTGTTGACCTCACCCAGCTAAAACCGGGCTAGGAAAGAGTGCCTTTCCATCTCGCCTTCCCGCCCAGCCAACCCCAAAATCCCAGCAGCTGTGGTTGCCATGGTAAGAGCACCCCCCACCCTTTGCACATAAATAAACTGCAACCTGGGGACCTGGAGCTGCTGGAAGAGGCCGAATGTGCAGCACCAGCTCATTTCCCACTCCTCTCACTTCGGGATAATTAGTGCAAATTAAATTTCACACCCTACTCTGAGCAGAGCAGCGAGCGCTCCCGGGGAATGGATGCGGGCGGTTCAGGGGAGAGCACACTCCGCTGTCTCTCTGCAACGCGCAGACGTGAGAGAACATTTCTCAGCCACGAGTCCTCAGCAATTCCCCAAAGCCGCTGGCACCCAGGCAGGCTCAGACACATGCACCCGTGTGTGGGTGGAGAAGAACCCTGGAAATGGGAGACGAGTTCAATGCCAACGCTGGCACCCCTCAGCCAGGCTTCCCTCGTCTGCAGAACCAAAAGGATGGGCCATGGACAGGAACCCCTCAAAAACACGCACGCATGTCCACATCTACATGCCCACCCTCAGCACGGCTTCCTCCTGTGACCCGTGTGGTCACGCAAGGCCCCGAGCTAAGGAGGGCCTGTGTTTGCTTTCAGGCTCTGTCTGCTATCTAATATTTTTAAGAGGTTTGTTTTTGTTGTTTTATTATTTATTTTATTTTATTTTATTTTAATTCCTCTCCTGAAGCTATGGTTATCCATCTTAGAGAGAGGGAACAGAGGGAGAGAGAAGGGGAGAGCCTTCATTGATGTGAAACAGAAACATCCATTGGTTGCCTATCGTACCCACCCCAACCGGGCACCAGATGGGTCCTGCAATTTGGTTATGTCCCCTGACCGGGAATCGAACAGTCAACCTTTCAGTTTACAGGACGATGCTCCAACCAACTGAGCCAAACTGGCCAAGGCTACCATCTAATTTTTTAACTAGAGGCCCACATTTCCTTTTACAATGGACCCTGCAAATTATGCAGCTCGTGCATTTACACATATTAAGTATCTGAACAACCAAACATGCTAGACACACCTTGACGCCAATAGTGATTAATAGCAGACCACATGCTGTTCTAAGTGCTGTCTGTAACTTTACGCCACTGAACACTCACAAGAACCCCGTGAGGCTGGTTCATTCGGTATTTCTAGAATTTTAATGTTGTCAGCCCTGGGGACCATGATTAAGTGCAGGTTCTGAGTCAGAAAGTCTAGGGCAGGGCCTGTGACTCTGCATTTCTAACAAGCTCCCAGGGGAGGCTGAGGCTGCCTGTCCCCAGGGCCTCATTTTGAGAAGCAAAGGTGTAGTCAAGGCTGTTGCTGCCCCCATCCCCCCGCTGCTGTGAGGTGGGCCCCCTCTCGGGGCACTGCCCTATGCCAGCCCAAGCTGCCTCGCCAGAAAATGCCTCAGAGATGACCCCCCGCTCCTGCCACCAAGAGAGCTGGCCTCCTTCCCTCCAGGTGGGCCAGCTGTTCCGTGTCATTCATGCTCCAGAACTCGGTGTGGCATCAGGCTGAGACCAGACTCCAGCCAAACCCACACCTAGCTTGGCTTCTCCTCCAACTCTGTGCTGGTTCACTCCCTTATAAGCTCCTCCCCAAATCAGTCACATGTGTAGGAATGCCTGTCTGGGGCGCTGCTTCTGAAGAACCCGACCTAGTCAGGGAGACACTGTTATTATCCCCATTCCGTTGATTGAAAAACTGATGGTGGTTAACTTACCCAGGACAGACAAGCGGCAAAGCCAAGATCTGAGTGGGCAGCCGAGTTCCACGACACAACCCCACCACACACTCCTGTGAATGCACCCGCCGTGTGTGCCCGTACACACACAGCATCTCTGCATGCACACTGATGCTCACGTGCACATACGTAGGTATCATCGCTTCAGGCTAACATCTACTCGCATGCATGCACATCTGTGTCTGTATCCGAAAAGATGCAGGTGTGCAAACCCCTTCATTCATTTGGCGAGTAAGTGAATAATTGCACAATAGTGCACATGTACATCTGTCCATCTATTCCCAGGCCTCACCCCATCGTGCTGGAGCTTTGATGTCTCCCTGAAATTAGGGGGGGCCCTCCTCCCCACTCCCTCAGCCCTATACTTGCTCTTGTTTCCAAGTCTGTTTCCCCTGCTGGTCTGAGAGGTCCCCTAAGGCAGGGGACCTGGTCTGATCTGTCATGGTAAACACGGGGTCTGGCCTATAGTACGTGCTCAATACACATTCCTGGAACTGAATTTAATCCAGCTCTGCCATTTGCTAGTCATGTGACTTCTGACGAGTCCCTTCCCTCTTGGAACCTCAGTTTCCTTCCTTCCAGGTAGGGGGCGCTATAGCAGGTGGACCCAGTTCAGCGTTAAGGAAGGCGCTGGGGAAGATTCGTTCAAGGAAGAACCGGCATCCCGAGCTGAAATCCGAGGGAGAATCAGGATTTCTCCAGGGGAAGAGGGGCAAGGAGAGTTCTAGTCAGGCGGAACAGCACGTGCAAAGGCGCAGAGGTAAGGGAATGCGGTTCATTCAAGGAGAAGCCTATTCAAGGGGGAAAACCATGTGTCTGGAGCTCAGTGGGGAGAATCCCCCAGGTGGAGGCCGAAAATATGCCTAGGGGGCCACGGTTTAGATTTTTTTTTTCTTGAGGGCAAAGGAGAATCATAGAAAATTTTAGTGACGACATCCGATTTGGGTTTTTAGGGCTCCCCGGGTAAACACAATTTCACCCTCCACTCCCACCGACTCGCTCTAGGCACCCTGCAGGGCTGTTCAGAGCCATTTCTCTAGAGCTTATTAGATGTGTCCTGCGGGCCAGGCCCAGAACAGCGGCTGGGAACTCATCTCCGTCCCAGCCTCGGAGGAGCCTGCAGGCTGGGGGACCACCATGCCTCCCCTGCACTGGTATGACCTGGGCCCCCCAAGGCTGTGTGCCTTTGAACACGTCACTCTTCCCCCTAGGCTCCAATCTTTCCATTTGTAACGTGAGAGCGTGGGGTGCCATTACCCCTCAGAATCTGGCCAAGAATACCAAACCCCCTAGGCTGCAGGGATTGGTTCCAGGGTGGGCACATGACCCAAGCTGAGCCAATGAGAATCCATCCTGAGGCCCTTTCCGGATGTCAGTTGCCCCTGAAAATCACACGGCAAATGTGGGTGTGAATGCATGCGCGTGTTTTTGGAGGGCGAGAAAGTCTGTAGCTTCTGCTACATTCTCCAATGCCTCCATGGCCTAAAGGAGGGTGATAAATGCTGGCCATCAGGAAAACTCAGCAACAGGAAGAGGTTAGGGTAAGGAACTTGTTACCTGTGTGAAGGGAAGCATGGAGGGATTGAGGCTCTGAGTGAGTGAATGTATTCAAGTCTCAACAGATGCTTTTACCTTCGCCGAGCTAGGATGGCCTTGATCACGGTGACAGGTAAAAAGAGTTCGTGATGAGTTCCAGCACCCCTTTTTCACAGTTGGCTGTCCTCAGGCAAGTGACAACCTCCCTGCACCTGTTTCCTCCGCCTGTAAAATGAGGACACCCTCAGGTCCGATCTCGCAGGAAAAGGATTCAATGAGATCTGCAGGGGAGGTTCTCAGTTCAGGGCGGACACAGAGTAAACATGCAATAAAGGCCAGTCAGCACCAGTCACAGCTTGGCACAAATCAAACTGAGAAAAATCACCCCCAAACAAAGAGGAAAGCAATAATCTTTCGCAGGTTGTCCCTCCATCACAGAGGGACTCCCACACCTTGTCTCCTGCCCACTGGGACCTCGATAGGTGCCTCACCCCCACGTGTCCCCAAAATGTCCATCAGTTCTCCTTACCTTGGGACCAATCAGAGGCAGGTTGGTGTCCAAGCTTCCATTCTGATGCTCGAGGCCTGCTCAGCTCTGTGCCCTGGAGCTGGGGGGTCATATTCCTTGTATATGTATATGGTGGGAAGCAGTTTCCTATTTTCTATAGCTTCTGAGATGGCTCCTGAGGTGTCCCCCCCCCCGTATTGATGTTCTGTGTGAGCCCCGCCGCTTGAGTGCCTGCTGGACCTAGTGGCTTGCTTCTAACAAATAAAACACCACAGCGCCATTGGGATGTCCCTTTAAAAATCAGGTGACGACAGACTTTGGCTTCCATGTTGCTCGCTCGCTCGCTGTCTCTCTCTCTCTCTCCCTTCCCTGCTCTGATTGAAGCCGCTGCCCTGGTGTGAGCTGCCCTGCGGAGAGGCCCACGTGGCAAGGACCTGAGGGTGGCCTCTCAGTTCCTCTCCATCCAGCAACCCACCAGGAAATGAACCCTGCCAGCAGAAGCGAGCTCGAGAGCACATCCCTTCCCAGTCGGGCCTTGAGATGATGCAGCCTAGGCCGATGCCTTCGCTGCCGTCTCGTGAGGGGCCCTGAGCCAGAGGACCCAGCTAAGCCGCCCCTGGGCTCCTCACCTACAGAGACTCTGGCACACTCAGTGGTGTGTGAAGCCACTACATTTGGGGGTGAACTGTTACACAATACTAGATAACTCATACACAGAGCAGAAAGGGAGGGGGTTTGATTTTTTTATTTCTCTCTTAGCTGAAAAGCCCAGGAGTAGAGTTTGAAGTTGCAGGTGTGGCTGGATCCAAATGCTCAGTTGTCAACAGGGATGTGTCCGTCCTAGCTTGGGCTTCCATGAGAATTGATGCTGAGACAAGGACCTGGGTGCCGGTGGTGTATTTGGGAGGGAGTGTGGGAAGCAAGAGTGACAGAGAGAGAGGAGATGGGGGCAAGGAAGAAGGAAAGGGTGATAAATGTGTTTTCAAATTTGCTGCTGAACAGGCTGGACCTCTCTGCAGCCTCCAAGAAGCATGCTGCCTCCCACCATTGTCCTTCTGAAGAACGGGAGCCAGGGCCTCTCACCCACCAGCTCCTCACTGCACTGGTTAAAGGCGGGCCCCAGTGTATTAACTTCCCAGAAAGTCAGAGCTGCACCGACACTGTGGCTGAGCAGCCTTCTCAGCTCCAGAGACACTTGTCATGGACCCTGGCATGAGGTGATGCAGGATGCCCAAAGCATCTGTGCACCGTCTCCTCCACCCTCAGCTCGCCTCCTCTGAGATGCCTGCAGCATCGGGCAGCCTCTTCCCTGCTCTTCCAGCAGCAGCAGTGCAGCAGCCGCAGGCTCTCTTCCCCTTTGGAAAGAGCTGTTTCCCAGTAGTGCCAGCAAAGTCTCAGGACAGCATTTCATTGGATGACAAAGATCACATGCTCATCCCTGACCTAACCACTGCTTCAGCTGGCTAGGCCTGGGTCTTGACCTATCCCTGGAGCCATGAACTAGAAGTAGCTCTTCTACTGAAATTTGGTAAGAAGGAGGAGGAAGAGAAAAAGAAAAAAAAAAAGAAATGAATGCTGGCAGGACGACAGACAGACTTCTGTGAAGTCTCTGATTCAGAAGGTTTGGGGTGGGGCCCACAAAATCGCATGCCTGACAAGTTCTCAGGTGCTGGTGTTACTGGTGCTGCTGGTGCAGGGACCACACTCTGAGAATCCCTGGAATGGAACCCGACAGGTGATACGGCTGCTTCATTCCTGGCACTTTTGTTTTGGTGACACATGCATGTAGGCACGCAGTCACCAAGGGAAAGGCATCCCTTACCGAGAGCACTTTGTGCACTGAGAGCAAGCGGCCGGTCCAGAGCCACGGAGCTGCGAGGCGAGAGAGCAGGGCTTCGCAGGCAGGCCTAGCAGGCTTCGAACCACAGTGCTTTGTGGCAGATCCCAGTCGCACAGGCAGCTTGGCAGCAAAGGGAGGCTGGGAAACAGCCCTAGGCTGGAGGGCTGTGATACAGTAAGTTGACAGACTCTACAGCACCAGGCACTGTGGCCTCAGATGCCTGGCAGAGGCACCCAGAGAGGACGGGGGCGGCTCCTGGAAGGACCCCCGGGGAGTCTGCTAGTGGCAGCGTTCCCCACAGACGACAGGGTGGTGGCCCAGCCTCGCTTCCCAGAGGCAGGACCCAGCCACCCTTCTCTAGCCCTCAACTCTGATCTAATGCCAACCCCCTGCCCAGACCGTTCTAACGGGGCTTGACATTTTCTAACAGATCTCTACTGTTATTTTCCTGTTTATTACATCATGTCAAGTACAGCTTTCACTTGGAAGCTTCAAAGTTTATTTGCTTATAAAATATTTGCTTTATCAAAAAGGACACGGCGTGGTTAATAAAACTAGGTACCCCCCACACACCCGCCCCCATCCCCAGCCAATAAAATAATTGCCTCTGGGTAAATGGGAGTGAGACTACATTCGACTTTATGGCAGGGATCATTTTTACTGGCCTTGCCACTGAACTTCACCCCCCCCTGTGGCATTGCCAACTGCAGATGCTTCTTTTTCTAATCTTTCCAAAAAAGCAGTGACTCATAAACAAGAACAGATTTCTCTTGCTTGCAGAAAAGGTAAATTGCTGGCAGAAATAAATTTGCAGATGCTAGAAATTCACAGAAAAGAGCTCGCTGGTGGAGAGGGTTTGATATCCTGCCCTATCCCCCACCCCCTTCTCCCTCCGTCTGTACACTTTCTCTTCCTGGGCAAAGCCGAGCTGCGTGCTGTTGGGTCCTCGCTGGGTGCGATGCTGGGCCTGGGGAGGAGGTGGGCTCTGCTGTTTTAAATGACTCCCCTGTTTATCTCCCAGTTTGTCCCAGTTCCTGGGTCTGGGACTGGGAGGAGGTCCCAGAGATGGAGGACTCCGGCACCCCAGCCCCACACCGTACACTGACCTCAATTTATGTGGGTTGCTCCCAGCCTGTGAACCTGTCGCCCGGGGAGCAGAAGGCCTGTGGGACCTGCCCGGGGCCTACGGGGAGGTGGCGCCTCTCTCAGACAGACTGCGGGACCCAAGTCGGCCCGAGAGAGGCCTAACTGGGGGCCTGGGATCCAGTCTAGGAGCCTCCCTCACTGACACGTGGCAGAGGGGACGAGGGGTGCCATTTCCCAAGCGACTGCTGCATCCCCTTACCAGGGCCAGACCTCCACATACGTCTTCCCCAATCCTCACAGCACCGTGGGAAGTTATTGTACCCATTTTACAGATCAGAGAATGTCACAGGGAGAGGAAGTCACTCGCCCACACACCCTCTAACTGAAATGACCCTGCGACTGGTCTCATTTATAGTTTCCTGCAGACCTCCCTTCTCCCTCTCCCTCTCTCTCCTCTTCTCCCAGCCACCCCCAGTCCAGGCCACCCCCTCCCCCCACTTCACTCCTCTACCGAAATCCTGACTCCCTCCTCCTCCCCACTGCTCTTTTCACACTAAGCACAGGGCATCCAAGAGAGAAAATTTTTCCAAAGAAAACAAATGTACAGGAGCCAGAAGTGGGGGTAGGGGAACCTCTGAGTTCAGTAGGGAAAACTCAGCTCCCAACAGCAGCAAAGGCCTCCGAAGTGGAGGGACCCCCTCTCCCACCAACCCCAAGGACAAGTTGGATGTGCAGTCACCCGACTGCACCCCCAGACCACCTGAACAACTGGGTTTTAAATTGTTGAGTACCCCTACACTTTCCTCCCATGCCAAGAATGTTCCCTGTTGATAAGTTGACAATTTAAGCTTTAAATTTTTATTAAAGTCCAACTTTCTACAACCCCCCCAAAGCCAGTGCCGTCCCAGAAGAGGTGAGTCATTTACACTCTAGTGTGAGTAAGTCTCTAGCCCTTCCGTGAGAGAGGCTGTTACCAAGCATGTTTGTCCCAGAGGGAACCATGGGCTCTCTCAATGTCCACTCCTCTCCAGTAGCTAGAGGGCTTCCATGCTGCAGAGTCTCTAAACACTCCAGGGCTACGAGGTGCCAGACATGGCCAATGGCTGTCCCAGAATGGGCCAGATGCCTCCTCACACTAATTCCTAACATGATAAAGACCTGCCAAGGTCCCTATAGGCAGCAGATGGCAAGCCAACTTCTACGTTGCCATGGCAGCCCTGAACCGGGGGTGAGGAGACTGCATTGTGTCTTGTGCCTGGATTACAAGAGGGCCCATGGAGGGATAGATGCAGCTTCAGGTATTATTCCCTCCCTCCAATCCCATCAGGTGGTGGCAGATGTCTCTGGAGGTTCCCCGGGAGGGTGGGGCCGTGAACAGGGCACAGGACCTGAATGCCAACAAAGCTGGGCTGCAGGCCAGCCAGCTCCTCACTCTGGAGCAAAGCCAGCTGTGAAGTCAGGTGCATCCAAGGGCTTCTGGGAGCCCGCAGCCCTCTGCTTGGAAATTTGAGGACCTATTATGTGTAGGACCCTCAAAGACCATGGAAGTCCCAGAGGACACAGATCTAGGGGTCAAAGATCAAAGGGTAGATTGGCCAAAAGACAGGCCCCCAGAACCTGTCTCCCTCATCTCTACCAGGAAAAGATGCAGGTGCCCAGGTCTCTGGGTAGCACCAGCGTCCAGTTCAGGACCCAGCCCAAGGTGATCACAGGCCTCCAGCCCCCTACAGACATCCCCACCCCCTGGGGATGTCTGAGCTGTGAGAGCGGGCACCGTGAGGCAGGACTGGGCCGAGCTAGCAGGACCGGGCAGGATGCGCACACAGCTCGGAGCCTTGAAGCCCTTCCCCGGCCCACACTCAGAGCCAACCCTGGCTCTCAGAGGGCTGACCACCATGTGTGCTCACAGCATGCACGGTAAGCGGTGTGAGTACAATGTGCACACATACCTTGTGCACACACGCAACATGCATACACTCAGGGTGCACATGCAGTGCACACAATGTATACAGTAGGTGCTCAGGGTGTGAGCACATTGTGCGCCTGCCCCTAGGACTCCCTTATCCACCAGTCCATGCTCACAAGCTGTGCATGACTTGTACACACAACACACACATAGGAGGCTCACATATTGGGCAGAGGAGGGTCCGGTGAGAGCTTGTGTGCACACACCTGC